GATACAATGTAATTGCTTAATTACTGACATTTTTTATATATTTTATATATATATGATATTTGTAAAATATATAAATATATAATATATATGAAAAATTGATGTGGGTACTCAAATGAAAGGTCTCGATGAGTGTAATGTCGGGGTGAGCTTATATCTTTAACAATGTCAATAGTTGACAAGATACAATGTAATTGCTTAATTACTGACATTTTTTATATATTTTATAGATATATGATATTTGTAAAATATATAAATATATAATATATATGAAAAATTGATGTGGGTACTCAAATGAAAGGTCTCGATGAGTGTAATGTCGGGGTGAGCTTATATCTTTAACAATGTCAATAGTTGACAAGATACAATGTAATTGCTTAATTACTGACATTTTTAAAGATATAAGCTCATTTTGTTAGTACACTCACCGAGACCTTTCATTTGAGTACCCACATGCCATTTTTTATATATTTTATATATATGATATTTGTGAAATATATAAATATATAAAATATATGAAAAATTGATGTGGGTACTCAAATGAAAGGTCTCGATGAGTGTAACATCGGGATGAGCTTATATCTTTAAAAATGTCAATATTTCACAAGATACAAGGTCATTTCTTAATTATCTATCTCTAGGTAGAGTATTTTAGAATGCAGCGTAAATACTTATCATCATAAATCGACTATTGATAAGAATGATATGAAACCTTGAAAAGACATGACTCCAGGTCAAGACCTTTCTAATTATACCAAATTTAACCATAAAAACCCATTTTATCATATAAATACACCTTCCAAAAAATTTTTCTTATTCTCTTAATAATATAGATTTTAATATTCATAAAATATATTAATAAATTTTTTTTTTTACAGCGAAACCTTCAAATAATCGATATACCTGGTCATGAACGTTTAAGATACAAATTTTTAGACAAATACAAAACATCTGCGGTTGGCATAGTATTTATTATTGACTCTGTCACTATTAAAAATGATATACGTGATGTTACTGAGTAAGTTATAAATAATAATACACATCGATAAGTACTTAATAAAAAAAATGTTTGCTGTAATTAATAAATATTAAATTGTCTTTCCAGATTTTTGTACAATTTGCTATCAGACTCAACAATCCAAAAGGTACCATTGTTGATTCTTTGCAACAAACAAGAGCAAAAGACAGCCAAGTCCAGCTCCGATATTAAATCGCTGTTGGAAAAAGAAATGGATCTCGTACGCGTTACTAAATCTAGTCAACTAGAAGCTACAGACGATACTTCTGCCTCGTCTTTTATTGGAATTCAAGGCAAAGATTTCAAGTTCGATCACTTGAACACTGAAATTCAATTCGATGAATTTTATTCTAGCAACTTTAATAAAGAAGCTCTTCAAGATACATTCAGAAAAATTTTTTTGTAATTTAAGATCATTTATTTTGTTAATAAAATAATATTTCTAAATTTTTCTTTAATTGTTATTTTACAATGTTTCATTTATAGTAAATATTATATTCTTTTAAACCCTTAAAAAAAATTTTTTTAATAACTTAAAAATTAATTATTTAAATTTTAATAAATTTATTTTATTTTATCAAAAATATATAAAATTTCTGTCAGTATTTTAGAATTTTTTTAAGAAATAAATTACCGCAAAAAATAATTTGACATATAGAAATTTTAAATAGTTAAAAATGTAATTTTTTAGAAATAATTTTTCAGAAGAAATTTTTTTGTTAAATAAAATAAAGAAATGATTGAGTAATTGCTAACTTTAATGTTTTACATAAAAATAATTTTAAAAAAATAGAATTATTAAATGTCAATTTTATGACATTAAAGTTAGCAATCACTTGACAATTTAAAAATTTTTTTTAACAAATAAAATTGTTCCAAAAAATTATTTAAAAAAAATTGCATTTTTTATTTTTTTTAAATTTCTACATGTCAATTTTATTTGTTGCAATAATTTTTAAATATTTGCTAAATTAATTTTCATGTCAATTTTTTTTTCTAAATTTTTATTTGCAAAATTTAACTTATTAAATTAATTAAAAATCTACTAAATTATTGTTCATTAATTTTAGTATAAAAAAATAATTTTTTTTTCAACATTAAAGTATTTTTTTACAAAAAAATAAATAACGTAAACACAAACAGCTGATCGCTAAAATATCAATACTCTGTTTAAATTTAATAAAAAAAAAAAAAAAAAAAAAAACAATTAGATATTTATTGACAAATACTTACTAAGCCTTTTAAAAAAAATCACTTGTATTGTAATTGTAATTAAATTATATAAATATTATTTAAACTTGTCTGTGACGTATCAATCCCGTGACAAAGATTGAATTATTATGATTATATATTTGTATATTTTTTTTTTAGATAGTAAATAAGAAAAATAAAAAATGTAATAAGTATTGGAAATTTTTTATAATACTTACGCAACAACGTCCATGGAATAAATTTCAGTAAGTAATTTTTTAAACGTGTTTTGTTATTGTTTTATAACCAACTTATTGTTTCTATTATTGCAGCACTTGACGGCTCATGTTTAGTTGAAACTCCAAACAATATATGGCAGTAGTGTGTACCAATAGGTTATCATTGATTGTCAAGATTATTGAACGGAATAATAAAATATTTAAAATGTCTAGTTTATCTGGAAAATCAATCAACGTTAATCTAGGAGGTAATTTTTTTATTTTATTTATAAAAAAAAATTATTTAGTTTATTTATTTAAGTGTCTGAAAAAATTTGATCTTGCAAATGACAGATCTGATTATTTTTTGATAATGATAAGATAATTTATTTTTGAATATTGTAAAATAAAAAATGATAAATTAATTATATTCAATTTTTTTTTTCTAGATATGAGGATAAAATACAAAGATAAAAGTGAAACATTTACAGAAGATCAATTAGATTGTAAAGAACCAATTGGACAATTTAAAGCTTGGTTTGAAGTTGCTAGTAAAACTCCCGGTATTCTAGAAGCTAATGCAATGTGTTTAGGAACTGCTACTAAGTAATTAATTAATTTATTATTATTATTAGTAGTATTATTGATATTATTACTCCGAAGTTATTTTTAAAAATATTATTATCTATATTATTAAGAGAATAAGAAAAATTTTATTTCCAGGATAGTCATATGATAAAATGACCTTGTATCTTGTGAACTATCGATATTTTTAAAGATATAAGCTCATCCTGATGTTAAGCTCATCGAGACCTTTCATTTGAGTACCCACATCAATTTTTCATATATTTTATATATTTATATATATTACATATATGTATATATGAAAAATATATCATAAATGCATGTGGGTATTCAAATGAAAGCTCTCAATGAGCTTAACATCAGGATGAGCTTATATCTCTAAAAATGTCAATAGGTAAGAATTAACATTGCTATCTTGTCAACTATTGACATTTTTTAAGATATAAGCTCACCTCGATATTATACTCATCGAGACCTTTCATTTGAGTACCCACATCAATTTTTCATATATTTTATATATTTATATATATGTATATATGAAAAATATATGAAAATTCATGTGGGTACTCAAATGAAAGGTCTCGATGAGTGTAACATCGGAACGAGCTTATATCTTTAAAAATGTCAATAATTTACAAGATACTAGATCATTTCCTTATTATTTATATTTTTAAAGATATAAGCTCATCCCAATATTACACTAATTGAGACCTTTCATTTGAGTACCCACATCAATTTTTCATATATTATATAT